CGGAGTAAGAGGAAAGGTGAAGCCCTCAGAGGGGATTTTCCCAACCACGTCGGCTGTACTCCCGGACTGGCTGGGGGGGTTAAGGCCAGTGCGTGAGCGATGGTGGGGAGATTGCTACCAGCTGTACCCCTCACTGGGCCCTCTTCTTGGGGAGGAAGAAAAAGGCTTTTCCCTCAAAACACATGCTCTCCCTCACCCCTCTGACCAGCCTTAGCGTGCCTCAGTTTCCCCTGCCTGCAAAGCAGCTTTGCCAGACCCATGCTGCAACCCAGGCTGAGGGCTTCCCTCCCAGGCAGCACCTCCTCCCGGAGCGGTGCCCTGCCCGGCTTCCAGGGCTCCCAGGGCGAGAAACCTCTCCCTTCTTTTTGCTATTCAGATGAACCCTTCAGGAGAGGGTGAGGCCTCGGGACCGCGTGCTTCTCGGGGAGGAGGGGCGGCGGGGAGGGAAAATGCAATATTTATATATTGGTTTGTTTATCCTCCTCCGGCTGCGTCCCTGGGTGCTGGGCAGACACGTTGGAGCAGCAGGGTGCCGGGGGTGCGGGGAGGGCAGCTGCTTTGAGGGCAGGGGAAACTGAGGCACACAAGGGAGGTGGTTGCTCGAGGCCGGAGTGGAAGGCAGGATGGGTCTCTGCAGTCAGGCAGGTCCCGGGGGGGCTGGGGGGGACAGGCGGGGAGGCAGCAGCTGGGAGCATGAGGGCAGGGCGATGACCGGAGGGCTACGTGGCGTCTCCGTGGGAGTGGGTCAGCGGGGACGATGCTGAGATTAGCGGGCCCTGGTGGTGTCGGAGAGCTGGGGAAAGGAGAGGATTCGGGGCACGGGGCACCTGGGATCACCAGCGTTCCAGGTGCTGGCCTGGGGATGTGTGTCCCTCCCTGGGCGGGGAGAACAGGATGGAGCTGGGTCCTTTGCGGACAGCAGCGAGCTGGGAGGCGATGCAGGAGCCTCGCATCCCTCGGTCCGGGTGTGCTGGGACCCCAGTTGCTGCGTGGCTCCGTCTGCCTCCCTCTGCCATGCTGCCTGCCTCCCTTGCCTGTCCCTGGGTCACCTCGGAGCAGGCAGGCAAAGCCTCTGGTGAGGGGCAGCCCTGGGCACGGAGCTGCTCTCCCGGCTGGCCACACGTGTTTTCGCCTTGCCCTGGCCTTGTTTGCTCACCCGGGGCCCCCCTTATCTGCCAGGGGTTAATGCCTGGGGAAGGGAAAACAAACCTCCCCGTCGGCTCCCAGCA